GGCCCCATAGGACCCCCACCTTGCAGAGGGTGACGGTGGCGCTGTAGCAGACGCTGAGGAGGAAGAGGGTGATGAAGACAGCAACAGTGTCCCAGGGCCCATTGGCCACATCGGGGTCACCATGGCAAAGGTCCTCAGGGAGGAGCATCTCTGCAGGTGGGGACAGGGGGGACATGGTGGTCCATCCATCATCATCTCCATCCATCATCATCTCCATCCATCATCATCTCCATCCATCCATCTCCATCCATCATTATCTCCATCCACCACCATCTCCACCCACCTCCATCCATTATCCATACAAATTCCCCTAAATTTCCTCAATTCCCCCATTTTTTCCTCAGATTTCTCCCAATTTCCCTCCATATTCCTCAAATTCCCTCAGTTCTTCCCTGATTCCTCTGATTTTCCCCAAATTTCCTCAATTTTCCCCTAATTTGCCCAAATGTGCCTCAAATTTTCCCACTTTTTCATTTATTTCCCCAAATTTTCCTCAAATTGCCTCGGTTTCCCCCCGGTTTCCCCAAGTTTGCCTCAATTTGCTTCAAATTCCCTCAATTTCCCCCAATTATCCCCATTTCCACCTATTTTTTTCTGTTTCCACCCAAATTTTCCTCTATTTGCCTCGAATTTCCCCAGTTTTTCCCTGATTTCCCCTCATTTCACCCAGAATTTCGCCCAGAAATTTCCTTCCTTGGCCCCTCATTTCACCCAATTTTCCACGATTTCCCCAAATTTCTTCAGTTTCCTCCTGATTTTGCCCAAATTTTGCCCGGTTTCCCTCAGTTTCTGCCTGATTTTCCCAATCTCCCCAAAATTTCTTCCATTTCCCCCCAGTTTGCCCAAGTTTTCCTCAAATTTCCTCCGTTTCCCCCCTGTTTTCCCAATCTTCCCCAATTTCTCCTGGTTTCACCCTCATTTTCCCAGATTTTCCTCAAATTTCATCATTTCCCCCCCAGTTTTCTATAATTTTCAATGGATTTTCCCAAATTTGCTCGGAAAATCCATCATCCATCTCCATCTATGTCCGTCCATGTCCACCCATCCCCATCCACCTCCCTCCACCTCCCATCAGTTCTTCTTCCACCTCTTGCCCCCGTAGATGGGAGGAAGGTCCAGTTCCTTTCGTCCATCCATCACCATCATCATCATCATCCATCATCCACCTTCATCCATCTCCATCTCCACCCATGATCATCACCCATCATCCACCTCCACCCATGTCCACCCGTCTCCATCCACCTCCGTCATCTCCATCCATCTCCGTCTCCATCATCCACCTCCATCCATCATTTCCATCCATCATCATCATCACCCATCATCCATCTCCATCCATCATCACCATCACCCATCATCATCTCCATCCACTTTCACCCATCTCCATCCATCATCATCCATCTCCATCCATCACCACCATCACCCCTCATCCATCTCCACCCACTTCCACCCATCTCGATCTCCATCATCATCACCCACCTCCATCCACCACCCTCTCCCCATAGAACCACACGCACCGCTTGAGCCATCTCCTCCTTTATTCCCAGCCCCACAGAGACGCCACCACCTCACTTCCTTTTACCGGGGCTCCTGTTGATGCTGCGCTGGATGAACCGCATGGGCAGCCCCTCGTGCACCACCATGCACACGAAGGTCGTCCCCTTGTTCCACTCCTCCCTCTTCACCTCCAATCGGCTGTACAGGAAGAAGGAGGCGTCTCCCATCTTCTCCTTCATGGCCGGCGTCGTCTCGAAGCTCGACGCCTCCACCGGGTCCTGGTTCTTCTGCCACTCCACCGAGATGGACTCGGGGTAGAAGCCTCGCACCAGGCACGTCAAGCTCAACGTGGGGCGGGAGCTGCTCATCTCCTCCAAAGGAGGGGCGAACAGGTAGACGCTGGGGGTCAAGCGCTTGCCTATAGGGGGGGACGGACAAAATGGGGTGGGGGGGGAACAAATCATTGAGGTGCCATCGGGATCATGGTGATGTGGATCGGGGTTTGGGACGCCCCATAACCACTGTGGAATGAAGCCCATCAGCCCAGAGCGGCCATAAAGGGAACCTTATGGAGGTGCCACCACCACCCAAATCCATGATGGGGGGACCCCGTTGAGATGCCAGCACCTGAACCAACCCAATGTGATGCCGGAGACCCCATAAGCACCTGAACTGAGGCCACAGAGCCCCATAGCCACTATGAACTGAACCCCATTGAGATGCCACCACCAACCAAATCGATGATAGGGGAACCCCATTGAGATGCCATCACCCAAACCAACCCAATGGGATGCCAGAGACCCCATAACCACCATAAACGGAACCCTATGGAGATGCCACCACCCAAAAGCCATTGTAAAATGGACCCCATTGAGATGCCATCACCCGAACCAACCCAATGTGAGCCCAGAGACCCCATAACCACCACAAACACAGATCCCATTACCCCATAACCACCGTGAATGGAACTCTATGGAGATGCCACCACCCTATGGCTCCCTACCTGGCTTCTTGGCGATGCTGCGGCTGATGGGAGAGGGCAGGTCCCTGTGCTGGACCTTGCAGTTGAAGGCGATCCCGTTCTCCCAGTCGCTGGTGGACACCAGGACCTCTCTGGTGGCCGTGAAGGTGCCGTTGAACTGGGCCTTGACTTGGAGGAGGTTGGAGCTCAGGGTCCGGCCTTGGTCCTTGCTCCAGGTGATCTCCAGGCCCTCGTCACTGGGTAAACTGGTGGCGACGCAGCGGAGCCGGGGGCTCTGGGACACGTAAAGGTCCAATGGGGACGGGGGCAGGACGAAGACTTGGATGGCGCTCGAGTCCGGAGGGGTGACTGGCAAGGGGAGAGGAGACCAATGGAGGTGCCGCCATCCAAAGGGGCTCCGGTTGGGCCCTATGGAGGTGCCACCACCCAACTGAAGGTCAATGGGGCCCTATGGAGGTGCCACCACCCAATGAAGCCCAATGAAGATGCCACCACCCAACGAAGCCAATGGAACCCAACGGAGATGCCACCAACCAATGAAGTCAATGGAACCCAACGGAGATGCCACCAACCAATGGAGCCCAATGAAGACCCCACCACCCAACGAAGCCAATGGAACCCAATGAAGCCCCCACCACCCAATGGAGCCCAATGAAGACCCCACCACCCAATGAAGCCCCCACCACCCAACAAAGCCCCCACCACCCAATGAAGCCAATAGAACCCAATGGAGCTCCCACCACCCAACGAAGACCCCACCACCCAACGGAGCCCAATGCAACGCAATGGAGCCCCCCACCACCCACCGGAGCCCCATGGAGCCCTCCAGGTCCGCACTCACTGAAGCATTTGCTGGCGGGCACCTCGAGGCTGGTGCTGGTGCCCGGGTGGGTGACGCCGCAGGCCAGGGTCTTCTCCTGCCATTGGTCCATGGTGAGGTTGAGGCGGGCGCTGGCCCGGAAGGTCCCGTCCGCGTTGGGGCCCTCGATGAGGAGCGGGGCCGGGTCCACGGGCTCGGAGTCCAGGAGCCATTGGAGGCGCAGGGGGCGAGGGGAGAAGCCCGAGGCCGAGCACAGGAGGTGGACGGAGCCCCCGGAGCAGGAATGGAGGACCTCGAGGTGGGGGGGGAGAGAGCGGGAGGGGGGGGACACTGGGGGGGGTGGAGGGGGGTGAGGAGGAGGAGATGGAGGAGGAAGAAGAGAGGAGAAGGAGAAGAGAAGGAGATGGAGATGGAGGAGGAAGAGAAGGAGAAGGAGAAGGAGAAGATGGAGAAGAGAAGAAGAAGAGATGGAGGAGAAGGAGATGGAGGAGGAAGAGGAAGAGATGGAGGAGGAAGAAGAGAAGGAGATGGAGAAGATGGAGAAGAAGGAGATGGGGGAGGAAGAGGAAGAGATGGAGAAGGAAGAAGAGAGAAGAAGGAGGAAGAGAAGATGGAGGAGGAAGAAGAGAAGATGGAGGAGAAGATGGAAAAGAGGAGATGGAGGAGAAGGAGATGGAGGAGATGAAGATGGAGAAGAGAAGGAGAAGAGATGGAGGAGAAGGAGATGGAGGAGGAGGAGGAAGAGATGGAGGAGGAAGAAGAGAAGAAGGAGGAGACGGAGATGGAGATGGAGGATGAGGAAGAGGAGATAGAGGAGAAGATGGAGGAGGAGAAGAGGAAAAGGAGGAGATGGAGGAGGGCAAGGACAAGGAAAAGAAGGAGAAGAAAATGGAGGAGAAGATGGAAGAGGATGAAAAGGGGAAGGTGGAGGACATAAAGAAGAGCAAGTTTAACCCCACTTCACCCCGTTTAAACCTCATTTAGCCCAATTTTAACTGATTTCAACCCATTTTAACCCCATTATAACCCATTTTAACACATTATAACCCATTTTAACTGAATTTTACACTGTTTTAACCCATTTTACCCCAATTTAACCGATTTTATCCCCATTTTAACACCATTTACACCCCATTTACCCAATTTAACCCCTTTATAACCTATTTTACCCTGGTTTACCCCATATCACCACATTTTACACCATTTTAACCCCATTTCAGACCAGTTTAAACCCATTTCCCCCCATTTTCCCCCTTTCACCCCGTTATAACCCATTATAACCCATTTTAACCCGATTTTATCCCATTTTAGCCCCATTTCACCCCATTATAACCCCCTTATCCCCCATTATACCCCATTAAACCCCATTATAACCCCATTATACCCCATTATTCCCCATTATAACCCCATTACACCCCATTTTCACCCCATTTCCCCCCATTTTTACCCCATTTCCCCCCATTCCCCCATCACTCACCATTGACGACCACGCTGCCGCTGAACCCCGTGGCCCGGTGCCCCACGGCGCACGTGGCCTCCCTCTGCCCCACAGGCACTGCCACGGCGCTCGCCTGCCTATAGCGCCCCCCGGTGGGCCTAGAGGCCGGGTACGAGGGGGGGGGCACCGATGGGGATCCCCCCCCGGCCATGGTCCAGGTCATGGTCACGGGCAATGGGGTGAAGCCGGACGCCAGGCACCCCGCTATGGGGCTCGCTGTGGGGCCGGCACCGCAGGACACCAATGGGAACAGCGAAGGGGACGTCGCGGGCGCTGCAGTGGGGAGGGAGCATATAGGGGGCGTTAGAGCATCGTAAGGGGGACCCATAGGCACCTAATGGCACCCATAGGCACCTATAGGGACCCATAGGGACCCATAGGGACTCATAGGGAACTAATGGCTCCCATAGGGACCTAATGGCTCCCATAGGGACCTATAGGGACCCATAGGGACCCATAGGGACTCATAGGGACCTAATGGCTCCCATAGGGACCTATAGGGACACATAGGGACCTAAGGCACCCATAGGCACCTATAGGGACACATAGGGACCCATAGGGACTCATAGGGACCTAATGGCTCCCATAGGGACCCATAGGGACACATAGGGACCCAATAGCACCCATAGGGACCCATAGGGACATAATGGGTTAGGGTTAGGGCTCCATGGGCACTAAGAGCACTCCCAAGAGCACTCCCAAGAGCACTCCCAAGAGCACTCCCAAGAGCACCCATAGGGACCTAATGGAACCCATAGGGACCCATAAGGACCCATACTGACCCATAGGGACCCATAGGGACCTAATGGCACCTATAGGGACCCATAAGAACCCATAGGCACCTATAGGGACCCATAGGGACCCCAAGGGACCCTAAGACCACCTTAAGAGCACCCAAAGGCACCTTAAGGGCAACATGGGCACCTTAAGAGCACCCATAGGGACCCCAAAGTGACCCATAGGGACCCCATAGCACCCACAGGGACCTTGAGGAGCCCCCCTGCCCGATAGGGACCCCCCTACACTATAGGGACCCTATAGCACAGCTCAGCTGCCCTATAGGGACCCCCCTGCCCCATAGGTCCCTCCTGCTCTATAGGGTCCCTACAGCACAGCTCAGCTGCCCCCTATAGCCCTCCCCTGCCCCATAGTAACCCCCTGCCCTATAGGGACCCCTGCCCCATAGGGACCCCTGCCCTATAGGTCCCCCCTGCTTTATAGGGTCCCTATAGCACAGCTCAGCTGCCCCATAGGGAACCCCTGCGCTATAGGTCCCCCCCTGCTCTATAGGGTCCCTATAGTACAGCTCAGCTGCCCCCTATAGCCCTCCCCTGCCTCATAGCAACCCCCTGCCCTATAGGGACCCCTGCGCCATAGGGACCCCTGCCCTATAGGTCCCCCTTGCTCTACAGGGTATCTATAGTACAGCTCAGCTGCCCCATAGGGACCCCCTGCCCTGTAGGTCCCCCCCTGCTCTATAGGGTCCCTATAGCACAGCTCAGCTGGAGCCAGCCCCATAGGGACCCCCTGCTTTATAGGGTCCCTATAGCACAGTTCAGCTGCCCCATAGGGACCCCCTGCCCCATAGGTCCCCCTTGCTCTATAGGGTCCCTATAGTACAGCTCAGCTGCCCTCTATAGCCCTCCCCTGCCCCATAGTAACCCCCTGCCCTATAGGGACCCCTGCCCCATAGGGACCCCTGCCCTATAGGTCCCCCCTGCTCTATAGGGTCCCTACAGCACAGCTCAGCTGCCCCCTATAGGGACCCATAGGGACCCCTGCCCTATAGGCCCCCTTGCTCTATAGGGTCCCTATAGCACAGCTCAGCTGCCCCATAGGGACCCCTGCCCTATAGGTCCCCCCTGCTCTATAGGGTCCCTATAGTACAGCTCAGCTGCCCCCTATAGGGACCCATAGGGACCCCTGCCCTATAGGTCCCGCTTGCTCTATAGGGTCTCTATAGTACAGCTCAGCTGCCCCATAGGGACCCATGCCCTATAGGTCCCCCTTGCTCTATAGGGTCCCTATAGCACAGCTCAGCTGCCCCATAGGGACCCCCTGCCCTATAGGTTCCCCTACACTATAGGGACCTCATAGTACAGCTCAGCTGGACCCTGCCCCATAGAAACCCCTGCCCCATAGAGACCCCATAGCACAGCTCACCTGCCCCATAGGAACCCCCTGCCCCATAGGTTCCCCTACACTATAGGGACCCCATAGTACAGCTCAGCTGGACCCTGCCCCATAGAAACCCCTGCCCCATAGAGACCCCATAGCACAGCTCAGCTGCCCCATAGGGACCCCTGCCCCATAGGTTCCCCCACTGCTCTATAGGATCCCTGTAGTACAGCTCAGCTGCTCCATAGGGACCCCCTGCCCTATAGGTTCCCCTACACTATAGGGACCCCATAGTACAGCTCAGCTGGACCCTGCCCCATAGAAACCCCTGCCCCATAGAGACCCCATAGCACAGCTCAGCTGCCCCATAGGGACCCCTGCCCCCATAGGTCCCCCACTGCTCTATAGGGTCCCTGTAGTACAGCTCAGCTGCCCCATAGGACCCCCTGCCCTATAGGTTCCCCTACACTATAGGGACCCCATAGTACAGCTCAGCTGGACCCTGCCCCATAGAAACCCCTGCCCCATAGAGACCCCATAGCACAGCTCAGCTGCCCCATAGGGACCCCTGCCCCATAGGTCCCCCACTGCTCTATAGGGTCCCTGTAGTACAGCTCAGCTGCCCCATAGGGACCCCCTGCCCTATAGGTTCCCCTACACTATAGGGACCCCATAGTACAGCTCAGCTGGACCCTGCCCCATAGAAACCCCTGCCCCATAGAGACCCCATAGCACAGCTCAGCTGCCCCATAGGGACCCCCTGCCCTGTAGGTCCCCCCCTGCTCTATAGGGTCCCTATAGCACAGCTCAGCTGGAGCCAGCCCCATAGGGACCCCCTGCTTTATAGGGTCCCTATAGCACAGTTCAGCTGCCCCATAGGGACCCCCTGCCCCATAGGTCCCCCTTGCTCTATAGGGTCCCTATAGTACAGCTCAGCTGCCCTCTATAGCCCTCCCCTGCCCCATAGTAACCCCCTGCCCTATAGGGACCCCTGCCCCATAGGGACCCCTGCCCTATAGGTCCCCCCTGCTCTATAGGGTCCCTACAGCACAGCTCAGCTGCCCCCTATAGGGACCCATAGGGACCCCTGCCCTATAGGCCCCCTTGCTCTATAGGGTCCCTATAGCACAGCTCAGCTGCCCCATAGGGACCCCTGCCCTATAGGTCCCCCCTGCTCTATAGGGTCCCTATAGTACAGCTCAGCTGCCCCCTATAGGGACCCATAGGGACCCCTGCCCTATAGGTCCCGCTTGCTCTATAGGGTCTCTATAGTACAGCTCAGCTGCCCCATAGGGACCCATGCCCTATAGGTCCCCCTTGCTCTATAGGGTCCCTATAGCACAGCTCAGCTGCCCCATAGGGACCCCCTGCCCTATAGGTTCCCCTACACTATAGGGACCTCATAGTACAGCTCAGCTGGACCCTGCCCCATAGAAACCCCTGCCCCATAGAGACCCCATAGCACAGCTCACCTGCCCCATAGGAACCCCCTGCCCCATAGGTTCCCCTACACTATAGGGACCCCATAGTACAGCTCAGCTGGACCCTGCCCCATAGAAACCCCTGCCCCATAGAGACCCCATAGCACAGCTCAGCTGCCCCATAGGGACCCCTGCCCCATAGGTTCCCCCACTGCTCTATAGGATCCCTGTAGTACAGCTCAGCTGCTCCATAGGGACCCCCTGCCCTATAGGTTCCCCTACACTATAGGGACCCCATAGTACAGCTCAGCTGGACCCTGCCCCATAGAAACCCCTGCCCCATAGAGACCCCATAGCACAGCTCAGCTGCCCCATAGGGACCCCTGCCCCATAGGTCCCCCACTGCTCTATAGGGTCCCTGTAGTACAGCTCAGCTGCCCCATAGGGACCCCCTGCCCTATAGGTTCCCCTACACTATAGGGACCCCATAGTACAGCTCAGCTGGACCCTGCCCCATAGAAACCCCTGCCCCATAGAGACCCCATAGCACAGCTCAGCTGCCCCATAGGGACCCCTGCCCCATAGGTCCCCCACTGCTCTATAGGGTCCCTGTAGTACAGCTCAGCTGCCCCATAGGGACCCCCTGCCCTATAGGTTCCCCTACACTATAGGGACCCCATAGTACAGCTCAGCTGGACCCTGCCCCATAGAAACCCCTGCCCCATAGAGACCCCATAGCACAGCTCAGCTGCCCCATAGGGACCCCTGCCCCATAGGTCCCCCACTGCTCTATAGGGTCCCTGTAGTACAGCTCAGCTGCCCCATAGGAACCCCCTGCCCTATAGGTTCCCCTACACTATAGGGACCCCATAGTACAGCTCAGCTGGACCCTGCCCCATAGAAACCCCTGCCCCATAGAGACCCCATAGCACAGCTCAGCTGCCCCATAGGGACCCCTGCCCCATAGGTCCCCCACTGCTCTATAGGGTCCCTGTAGTACAGCTCAGCGGGACCCATAGGGACCCCCTGCTCTATAGTGACCCCTGCCCCATAGGGACCCTATAGCACAGCTCAGCTGGATCTAGCCCCATAGAAACCCCTGCCCCATAGGGACCCCTTGCTCTATAGGGTCTCTATAGCACAGCTCAGCTGGAGCCAGCCCCATAGGGACCCCCTGCCCCATAGGGATCCCTGCTCTATAGGGACCCCATAGCACAGCTCAACTGCCCCATAGGGACCCTCTGCCCTATAGGGACCCTTACACTATAGGGACCCCATAGCACAGCTCAGCTGGAGCCAGCCCCATAGAAACCCCTGCCCCATAGGGACCCTCTACTCTATAGGGAACCCTGCCCCATAGGATCCCCTACACTATAGGGACCCCATGGTACCGCTCAGCTGCCCCCCTGCCCCATAGCGAGCTTCTGCCCCATAGCAAGCCCCTGCCCCATAAATCCCCCTTCCCCATAGGGTCTTCTACCCCATAGGAGCCCCACACTATAGCTTAGCTGTATCTAGCCCCATAGCGGACTCCCTGCCCTATAGGGACCCATAGAGACCCCATAGAGCCCCATAGAGCTCCACAGGGGCCTCCAGCCCCAAAGATCCCCATAGGGACCCCCATCCCCATAGAGCCACATAGGGCCCCATAGGGTTCCCCAGACCCATAGAGACCCCATAGAGCCCCATAGAGCTCCATAGGGGCCTCCAGCCCCATAGATCCCCATAGGGACCCCCATCCCCATAGAGCGACATAGGGCCCCATAGGGTTCCCCAGACCCATAGAGACCCCATAGAGCCCCATAGAGCTCCATAGGGGCCTCCAGCCCCATAGATCCCCATAGGGACCCCCATCCCCATAGAGCCACATAGGGCCCCATAGGGTTCCCCAGACCCATAGAGACCCATAGAGACCCATAGCAATCCCCAGCCCCATAGAGTCCTGCAGAGGCCCATAATGCCCCATAGGGACCCCAGCCCCATAGAGCCCCATAGGGAAAGCCTTACCCGCATGGCAGCAGCTCTGCCCCACACATGGTGCAATGAGGCCCTTCCCCCCAACACTTCCTGTTTCCTGCCTGACACCTGCTGTGGGGCAGCCCCATGGCTCCCCATAGAGACCCATAGGGACCCATAGGCACCCATAGAGCCCAGTTTAAAACCAGTTAAGTCAATTTTAAACCCATTTTAACCCCAATTCAAGCCGATTTTAAACCCATTTTAAGTCCATTTTAAACCCACTTTAAGCCCATTTTAAACCCATTTTAAGACCATTTTAAGTCCATTTTAAACCCACTTTAAGCCCATTTTAAGCCCAGTTTAAGCCCATTTTAAGTCCATTTTAAACCCACTTTAAGCCCATTTTAAGTCCATTTTAAACCCACTTTAAGCCCATTTTAAGTCCATTTTAAACCCACTTTAAGCCCCTTTTAAGTCCATTCTAAACCCACTTTAAGCCCATTCCAAGCTCAGTTTAACACCAATTCAACCCCACTTTAAGCCCAATTTTACCCTGTTTAAATCCGTTTTAAACCCAGTGTAACCCCAGTTCAAGCCCATTTTAAGTCCATTTTAACCCCAATTTCACCCCAGTTTAAACCCAGTCTAATCCAAATTTAAACAAATTTAACCCCAATTCAAGACCAGTTTAAGCCAAATTTAAGACCATTTTAAGCCCAATTTAAACCATTTTAAACCCAATCTAAGCCCACTTTAACCCCACTTTAAGACCATTTTAAGTCCATTTTAAGCCCAATTTAAGCCCACTTTAAGGCCTCTTTAACCCCACTTTAAGCCCACTTTAACCCCAATTCAAGCCCAGTTTAACCCCATTTTAACCCCAATTTAACCCATTTAAGCCCAGTTTAACCCCGATTCACCCCACTTTAAGCCCAATTTAAGCCCCCTTTAAGCCCACTTTAACCCCAATTCAAGCCCAGTTTAACCTCATTTTAACCCATTTAAGCCCAGTTTAACCCCAATTCAAACCCAGTTTAACCCCACTTTAGCCCCAATTCAAGCCCACTTTAACCCCATTTTAAGCCCAGTTTAACCCCATTTTAAGCCCAGTTTAACCCCAATTCAAGCCCACTTTAACCCCATTTTAAGCCCAGTTTAACCCCAATTCAAGCCCACTTTAACCCCATTTTAAGCCCAGTTTAACCCCATTTTAAGCCCAGTTTAACCCCAATTCAAGCCCACTTTAACCCCATTTTAAGCCCATTTTAAGCCCACTTTACCACCCCATTAAGCCCCATTTACCCTCTCACCATTGCTCCTCCACCTCCTCCTGCCTCCTCTCCTTGCGTCCCCATTGCCCCTATGGGGTGACCCCATTGAGGAGCTGGGAACCAGACCTAGGGGGAACTTCCCACCCCATTGACCTGCTCCTATGGGGCACGGGGCTCCCGCTTCCTCTTTGGGGCCACCACCAAACCCACTTCTCCTTTAGGGCCTTATGGAGCCTCCCCCATTGACTTCTCCATTAGGTCCTTCCCTCCCCATTGACCCCCTTTAGGTCCCCATTGACCCCCTTTGGGTCCTTCCATCCCCATTGACCCCCTTTAGGTCCCCATTGACCCCCTTTAGGTCCCCATTGACCCCCTTTGGGTCCTTCCATCCCCATTGACCCCCTTTAGGTCCCCATTGACCTCCTCCTATGGGTCCTCAGTGGTGTCTCCTACCCCATTGCAGACCCAGCCACCTCTCCCCATGTCTACCCATTGCTGCCCTGCGACTGCCTGGACCCGGTCTCCATTGGCTGCTTGGCCAAGGGCTTCCTCCCAACGCCCATCTCCATCACTTGGGTCTCCAACGTGGGGGGGGACGTCGAGACCTTCCCCAGCCAATGGATCCAGAGCTCCTACAGCGCCAGCTCCCAGTTGATCGTCCCGGCCACCAGTTTGAATGGGGAGAGCTTCCAGTGCAAGGTGGAGCACAGCAGCACCCAGAGCAGCACCACGGAGGTCATCGAAGGTGGGTTGGGGGCATCTACTATGGGTTGGGGGCATCTAACATGGGTTGGTGGGCATCTACTATGGGTTGGTGGGCATCTACTATGGGTTGGGGGCATCTACTATGGGTTGGTGGGCATCTACTATGGGTTGGTGGGCATCTACTATGGGTTGGTGGCATCTACTATGGGTTGGTGGCATCTACTATGGGTTGGTGGGCATCTACTATGGGTTGGGGGCATCTAACATGGGTTGGTGGGCATTTACTATGGGTTGGGGGCATCTAAAATGGGTTGGTGGGCATCTACTATGGGTTAATGGGCATCTACTATGAGTCAATGGCCACCAATATGGGTCAATGGCCACCACTATGAGTCAATGGCCACCACTATGGGTCAATGGCCACCACTATGGGTCGATGGCCACCATTATGGCTCAATGGCCACCACTATGGCTCAATGGCCACCACTATGGCTCAACAGCCACCATTATGGGTCAACGGCCACCACTATGAGTCAACGGCCACCACTATGAGTCGATGGCCACCACTATGGGTCAATGCCCACCACTATGGGTCAATGCCCACTGCTATGGGTCAATGCCCCCCCATAACCTCCTCGCCCCCCCCCCCCCCCCCCTTTAGGTTCCCAAGTCTGCCGCCCCCACCTGTTGTCCATGAGGCTGTTGGCCGACCCCAACCAGGAGGACCCCGAGGGGGACGTCCTCCTGCTGTGCCTCATCGAGGGCCATGGGGCGGCGGGCGCCAAGGTGGAGTGGTTGGAGAACCAAGAGCCGATGGCGGTGGAGCGGGAGGACGTGGGCTGCGAGCGCTGCAACGGCACGGCCGAGTCCGGCGCGAGGAGCGCGGTGAACGTGAGCAGGACCAAGTGGGAGCTGGGCACCCGGTTCTCCTGCAGGGTGACCCACAAGGGGCTGGGCACCCCCAAGGAGCTCAGCATCAGCAGCTTCTGCTCGGGTAGGTGTGGGGTGGATGGGGGGGAGATGGGGGGCGATGGGGATGGATGGAGATGGGTGATTGATGATGGTGGATGATGATTGGAGATGATGGAGATGGAAACGTGAGGAAAATTGGGTAAAACACTGGTCAAATTGAGGTGGGTTTGGGGAAATCTGGAGAAATTCAACGGAAATCTGGGGAAATTTGGGGAAAATTGTGGAAATCTGGGGAAATTTGTGGAAAATTGTGGAAATCTGGGGAAATTTGTGGAAATCTGGTGGAATCCAAGGGAAATTTGTGTAAATCTGATGGAAACTCGTGGAAACCTGGGAAAATGGGGGGGAAGCCGATGGAATGGGGTGGAATTTGCCCGGATGCCGACGTCCGGAGCCCCTCGACCCCCTTGCAGAGCCCAAGCCCGTGGTGGACGTCTCCATCCTGCCCCCGTCGCTGGAGGACCTGTACCTCCATCAGAATTCCAGCCTCACCTGCGTGGTTTCCAACCTCAAATCCCATTGGGACGTGAAGTTCTCCTGGAGCCGGGATAAAGGCAGCTCATTGGACGCGGTGGCGGGGCCCGTGGAGGAGCTGCCCAATGGGCTCTATCGGCTCAGCAGCTCCCTGGGGGTCTGCGCCGAGGAGTGGAACTCGGGGGAGAGGTTCTCGTGCACCGTCAGCATCCCGGAGCTCCAGGAACCAATCACCAGGTCCATCCGGAAGGAGCTAGGTAGGGCACGGAGCTGCGGATCCATGGGGCTTGGATGAGGGCGACGTCAACTGGAAGGGGCATCCAATGGGGATAGTCGACTGGGAGATGATGGCCAACTGGTGGGGTCGAAGCCTGTTGGAAGGGCCTAAACCCATTGGGATATCCAACAGGGACGGTCTAGTGGGAAATGATGGTCAACTGGTGGGGTCTATGCCCCATAGGAAGGATCTAAACCCCATAGGAAGGGTCTAAAACCCATTGGAAGGGTCTAAAGCTCATTGGAAGAGGTTGGTCTGGAGGAAGATCTTGGTCTATTGGAAGGGTCTAAGTCAACTGGAAGGGTCTAAGGCCATTGGGGCATCCAACGGGGATGGTCTACTGGAAGACTATGGTCAGCTAAGCCCATTGGAAGGGTCTAAAGCCCATTGGAAGAGGTTGGTCTACTGGAAGACGATGGTCAACAGAGCCGATAGGAAGGGTCTAAGTCAACTGGAAAGGTCTAAACCCATTGGGACATCCAACGGGGATGGTCTACTGGAAGACTATGGTCAACTAAGCCCATTGGAAGGGTCTAAAGGCCATTGGAAGAGGTTGGTCTACTGGGAGACGATGGTCATCTAAGCCTATAGGAAGGGTCCAAGTCAACTGGAAGGGTCTAAACCCACCGGGACATCCAACGGGGACGGTCTACTGGGAGGTGATGGCCAACTAAGCCCCATAGGAAGGGTCTAAACCCCATAGGAAAGGCCCAATCCCAGCCTCCTTGACCTCCTCTCCCGCCTCCCCCATAGCCACCGTCGTGAGGCCCCCATCGGTCTACGTCTTCCCGCCCCCCGCCGACGAGCTGTCCCTCCAAGAGACGGCCACGTTGACCTGCTTGGCCACCGGCTTCACCCCAAAGGACATCCTGCTCACTTGGACCCATCAGGACCGCCCCGTGCCCTCCGGGAGCTTCACCACCTTCGGCCCCGAAGCCGACGGCGACGCCTTCAGCCTCTATAGCCTGCTACGGGTGCCGGTGGCGGAGTGGCAACGGGGGGACTCCTTCGCCTGCGTGGTTGGGCACGAAGGGATCCCATTGACCTTCATCCAGAAGAACATGGACAAGAGCCTGGGTAAACCCACCATGGTCAACGTCTCCGTGGTGCTCAGCGACACCGACGTCACCTGCTACTAAGCCGGGCCCTCATTGGGTGGGATGGGTTGTCGTTCCGCACCCCAATAAAGGCTGATCCCAACGGAAGGCCGTTGGCCAACTCTCGGTTGAAGGGGGAGCGCTCCGTTGCGGGGTGGGGTGGTGGGGACGTGGTTATGGGGTTGGCATCTCAATAGGGGGTGGGGGCGGGCATGTCCGGATGGGAGAAGACCCCAGAATGGTGGGGTTTCAACCCAAAATGGGCCTCAAGAGGGTCAATGGGATGGGGTTGGCCAACAGGATGGGGAATAACAGGGGTGGTTGGTGGTCACTTTGGGCACAGGGAGGGTTGGAGAAGGATGGGGTGGGAAATGGGTGGGAAAGACCAAAAATGGGGGGTTTTGGGGGTGTTCAACAAAGACCTTCATGGTCCGTTTGCTTGTAAGAGGTTTTTGGGTGGAAAATGGGCAAAATTGGCCCAAAATGGTGGGGTTTCTGGGTGTCCACCAAAGACCTTCATGGTCACTTCGCTTATAAGAGGGTTTTGGGTGGAAAATGGCCAAAATTGGTCCAAAATGGTGGTTTTTTTGGGTGTCCACCAAAGACCTTCATGGTCACTTCGCTTATAGGAGGGTTTTGGGTGGAAAATGGCCAAAACTGGCCCAAAATGGTGTTTTTTTGGATGTCCACCAAAGACCTTCATGGTCACTTTGCTTATAAGAGGGGTTTGGGTGGAAAATGGCCAAAATTGGTCCAAAATGGTGGTTTTTTTGGGTGTCCACCAAAGACCTTTATGGTCCCTTTGCTTATAAGAGGGTTTTGGGTGGAAAATGGCCAAAATTGGCCCAAAATGCTGGGGGGGGTTGCGCATCCACCAATGATCCTCATGGTTCCTTTGCTGTAGGACAGTTTTGGTCAAGAATTGGGTGGAAAAGGGGTCAAAATGACAAAAAATGGTGCTTTTTTTGGATGGCCACCAAAGAACCTCATGGCCACCTTGATCATAGGAGGGTTTTGGTCAAGAATTGGGCGAAAAATGGGGTAAAATGGCCCCAAATGGTGGGGTTTTGGGGTGCCCACCACAGAACCTTGTGATCCCTTTACTAAGAGGATAATTTTGGTCAAGAATTGGGTGGAAAACGGCCCAATTTGGCCCAAAACAGTGGTTTCTTGGTGATGCACCAAAGAACTCCAGGTCACTTGGCTCATGGGAGGGTTTTGGTCAAGAATTGGGTGGGAAATGGGTGAAAATGGGCCAAAAGTGGCCTCGAAAAGGGTGGTTTTTGGTCGTGTCCTCCCCATTGAAGCCTTCTTCTCCCACCCCAGATCCCAACGTGGTCCTGGTGGGAGAGGAGGCGGAAGGGGAGGGAGAAGAGGAAGGCGCCAGCGACCTATGGACGGCCGTGACCTTCATCATCCTCTTCCTCCTCAGCCTCTGCTACAGCACCGGCGTCACCCTCTTCAAGGTGACCATGGGGGGGGAAATTAGGGCCTATTAATCATTAATTGGGGCTTACTAATCATTAATTAGGGCTCATTAATAACTAATTAAGGGCTAATAACTGCTTATCAATAATCAGTTAAGGTCTAATGATGACTAATTAAGGCGTATTAATCATTAATTAAGGTTCATTAATCATTAGTTATTAATTAATGGTTAATAATTATTATTTAGGGATTACTAATCATTAATTAAGGCTTACTGATGATTAATTAAGGGCTATTTATTTATTAAGGTTTATTAATGATTAATTAAAGCTTATTAATCATATTATTAAGGTTCATTAATGACCATTTAATCATTAACCAAGGCTGATTGAGCATTACTTAAAGCTTCATGAATTAAGGCTGATGAATGATTACTTCAGGCTCATCAATCACTAAGGCCAACTAATCATGATTAATGATTAATTAAGGCCAATTGATCTTTCATTAAGGCTGATTAATCGTTAATAAAGCAAATTAATCATTAAATAAGGCTGCTTAATGATTAATTAGGCCTGATTCATCACTAACGAAGCCATTTTGTGTCCCATAGGTGCTGTGAGAGGAGGAAGACCCCATCCTTGGGTTGCCCATGCTTGGCCATGCTCTTTGGGGGGAATTCAAGGAATAAAATGCATCACCATTTTCCACCCAAATTTACTCATTTTCTTGATGTTCCACCCCAAAACTCTCACCAAACTCCCCAAAATCACCATTTTCCACCTCTATTTACCCATTTTCTTGCTGTTTCACCCCAAAACTCCCACCAAATCACCATTTTCCACCCAAATTTACCCATTTTCTCAGCGTTTCACCCCAAAACTCATCTCAGACTCCCATAAAGGCCCACTTCTCCCCCCAGCCTTCACCCCACGGTGCGGACGTGCAGCAGAAACCCCAAACCCCAGGTTTCTGGCCCCCCAAAAAACCCTCCAGATGGTGTTTGTCATCAGCCAAGGTTTCATTTCTCCTCTTTCTTCTCGGTTTCGGGTCATTTTGGGCGGGTTTGAGTCATTTTGGGTGTCAGGAGATGCTGTTCCCACCACTGTGAACACCTGGATGGGCCCCATTGAGGTTCCCCTTTGAGTCAGCACCAAGAGGGGGGAAACCAATGGGAGGGCCTTTAGGAGCCTTTAAAGGGGGTGGAGAAGCCAATGGTGGCCAACACAACCCAACGGTGGTCAACGCAACCCATCGGGGGTCAATGCAACCCAATGGTGGCCAACGCAACCCAATGGTGGCCAAAGCAACCCAATGGGGGTCAATGCAACCCAATGGGGGTCAAAGCAACCCAATGGGGGTCAATGCAACCCAATGGTGGCCAAAGCAACCCAATGGGGGTCAATGCAACCCAATGGTGGCCAAAGCAACCCAATGGGGGTCAATGCAACCCAATGGGGGTCAAAGCAACCCAATGGTGGCCAACACAACCCAACCTGAAGCCAAGTGACCCCATAGAGCCCCATAGGGCCACTGAAACTAGTCTTAGGAGCAGGAATCCCGTTGGAATGCCCCGAATCTACCCCAGGAACAGGAATTCCATTGGAAAACCCATGGAAAAGAGGGAAAATGTGGAAAACTTTATTTATTAGGAGGAAACTATTTACAACAGGGAGGAAAAGGAGAAGAATCCCACAGAATTCCATCGATATCCAGCACTGGAGGGGATGAGAGGTGGAATTCCATCGGAATGGGGTTATTTCACCTGGGATAGGGGGAAAAATGGGAATTCTTTGGTTATTTGGGACCAATGGGGATTTTAGGGAAAATCTGGGAGAAATATGAGGGATTTTAGGGAAAATTGGGGTGGAAACCAGGGATTTCAGGGATACACAGAGGGAAAATAGAGATTTTCTGGGAAGGAAGGGGAGGGAAATAGGGGGTTTAGGGGAAATGAAGGGTTTAGCAAGGACTGGGGGGGAAATTGGGATATTTTGTAAGGATAAAGGGAAAAATAGGGATTCCTTGCAAGGATATGGGGGAAATAGGGCTCTTTTGAGAAAATTAGGGTAAAAAAAAGGATTTTTGTCAAGAATTACAGAAAACCAGGAATTTCAGCAAGAATTAGGATAAAAGTAAGGATTTTGGGCAAGAACTGGGGAAAACCAGGAATTCTTGGCAATAATTATAGGAGAAATAGGGATTTGAGGCAATTAAGGGGAAAATAGGGATTTGGCAAGAATTAGGGCAAAACCAGGGATCTGGGGCAAGAACTGTGGGAAAACAGGGGTACTTGGAGGAAATCAGGGTAAAAATACGCATTTATGGGGTTTTTTTAGGAAATTTGTGGAAAATGTTTTTTTTTAATGAGATCTGTGGGAAATGTGGGCTTTTGGGGTGACATTTGGGGAAAACCAGGGATTATTGGGGTGAAATTGGGGAAATCGGGGATCTGGGGGAGACCAGTTGGAAAAAAAAGGGTATTTTGGGTGGGAGAAGGAATTGGGGGTGGAAAATGGGGTGAAAAAGAGGGGTTTTGGGCCCACCTTGATCAAGGTGACAGTGGCGCTGTAGAAGAGGCTGAGGATGAAGAGGACGATGAAGGTCGAGGCCGTGGCCCAAAGGTTCTCGAGGTCTTCCTCTTCCTCCTCCTCCTCCTCCCCCTTGGCGAGCTCTAGGGGGGGAAAAACAGGGGGTTTGGGGTGAATTCCGGGGATTTGGGGTACGCATGGCATCAAAAATGGGGTTTTAGGGGGGCAGAAAGGAGATGGAGCCCGAAATATGGGGTTTGGAGCCCAAAATATGGGGGTTACGCAGCAAAATATGGGTTTGGGGTCCAAACTATGGGTTTGGATCCTAAAATAGGGGGGTTATAGCCCTAAATATGGGATTTACAGCCCAAAATCTGGGGTTTATAGCCCCAAATATAGGGGTTATACACCAAAATATGGGGTTGGACACTGAAATAAGGGGGTTATTCACAGAAATATGGGGTTTAGAGCCCAAAATATGGGTTTGGACATCAAAATATGGGGTTTATGGCCCAAACTATACCCCTAAAACCCATTTGACCCTAAAACCCCCTTTTCCACCCAAAACCTCCTTTTATAGCTCTAAATCGATTTTTATAGCCCTTTTCCACCCCTAAACCCCCTTTTATAGCCTCAAAACAGACTTTTCCACCCCAGAAACCCCTTTTCCACCCCTAAACCTCTTTTGTAGTCCCCAAAACAACTTTTCCACCCCAAAATTGCCTTTTATAGCCATTTTCCACTCGTAAACCCACCTTTTCACACCCTAAAGCCCCTTTTCCATCCAAAACCCCTCATTTACAACCCCAAACCCCCATTTTCCACCCAAAACAACCCTTTCCCCCCCAAACCCTCCCACTTCTCCCTGAAAATCCTTTTCCCATTTCCATCCCAAATCCCCCGTTTCAACCCCTAAAATCCCCTTTTCCGCCTCAAAACACCTTTTCCAATCTTGGAACACCCTTTTCTCTCCCAAAACCCGCACTTCCAGCCCCCCCAAACGCCCCTTTTTCCACCCCAAAACCCCCCATTTCCACCTCAAATCCCCTTTTTCAACCCCAAAACCCTTTTCCACGCCATTTCCACCCCAAACCTCTCATTTTCACCCCAAAACCTCCTTTTTCTCCCCAAATCCCCTCTTTTCCTCCCTAAGCCCTGCCTTTTCCTTCCAAAATCCCCTTTTCCTCCCCATTATCACCCCAAACCCCCTCTTTTCCACCCCAAAATTCCCTTTACTACCCCATTCCCACCCCAAAACCTTTTTCCACCCCGAATTCTCCTTTTTTGCCCCATTCCCACCCCAAACCCCCCTTTTCCACCCCAAATTTCCCTTTTCCACCCCATCCCCTCCCAAACCCCCTTTTCCCACCCCAAATTCCCCTTTTCCACCCCACCCCCTCCCCTCCCAACCCCCCATTTTACACCCCAAATTCCGCTTTTCCACCCCATTCCCACCCCAAATCCCCCCTTTTCCCACCCCCAAACCCCCTTTTCCACCTGAAAACCCCCTTTTCCCACCCCAAATTCCCCTTTTCCACCCCAAATCCCCCCTTTTCCTCCAAATCGCCCCTTTTCCACCCCAATCCCGCCTTTCCCACCCCAAAATCCCCTTTTCCCACCCCAGATTCCCTTTTTCCCAACCCAAATTCCCTTTTTCCACCCCATTCCCACCCCAAATTCCCCTTTTCCACCCCAAATCCCCCCTTTTCCTCCCAAATCCCCCTTTTTCCCACCCCAAACCCCCTTTTCCCACCCCTCCCACCACCACGATCCCTCCGCATCCCTTCGCTCTCCATCATTCCATAAAAACACCGTTTTATTGCTCAATTCCGGGGCCCTTCCCCCCCCCATTCCCTTTCCACCCTACAAAGGATGCGGAATTCCCTATGGGATTCAATAGCAGGATGCGACGGCGTCCGAGAGGACCAGCGACACGTTGACGGCGGCGGGTTTACCGGAGGCTTTATCCACGGATCTCTGCATCACCTGCATGGGGATGCGCTCGTGCCCCACCACGCACGTGAAGATGTTCCCCCTGGACCAATCCTCTCCCGGCACCGTCAGGGCGCTGTAGGTGAAGTAGGAAGGGGCAGGATGGGCTCGGGACGCGGGCGGACGCGGGCGCGATTCCGGCGTCGGCGGCAACGTCACGTAGTCGGCAGCGGGAACGGATCCCCGTTGCGGAGCCATTGGATGAAGAGGTCCGGGGGGTTGAAGCCCGTCACCAGGCACGTGATGGTGGCCGATTCCCGCATGGAAAGCTGCTCGGAGGGAGGTGGGAACACGAAGACGGACGGCGCCTTGGCGTCGCTCGCTGCGGAAGGAAGAGGGAATGGGTCGGGTCTCCGAGGGGAAACGGTGGCGTGGGATCCGTTTCCTTTGGGTTTCCAACGGGAAGAGGGGGGTTGGATCCGTTCCCATGGGGTTTCCCAAAGGAAAGGCTGGGATTGGGTCAATTTCCATCGGTTTTACAAAGGAAATGGTGGGTTTGGGTCATTTTTCATCGATTTTCCAAAGGAAATGATGGGATTGGGTCAATTTCCATGGTTTTCCAAAGGAAATGGTGGGATTGGGTCAATTTCCATGGTTTTCCAAAGGAAATGGTGGGTTTGGGTCAATTTCCATCGATTTTCTAAAAGAAATGGTGGGATTGGGTCAATTTCCATTGATTTTCTAAAAGAAATGGTGGGATTAGGTCAATTTCCATGGTTTTCCAAAGGAAATGGTGGGTTTGGGTCAATTTCCATCGATTTTCTAAAGGAAATGGTGGGATTGGGTCATTTTTCATCGATTTTCCAAAGGAAATGATGGGATTGGGTCAATTTCCATGGTTTTCCAAAGGAAATGGTGGGTTTGGGTCAATTTCCATCGATTTTCTAAAGGAAATGGTGGGATTGGGTCAATTTCCATCGATTTTCTAAAAGAAATGGTGGGATTTGGTCACTTTCCATCAACTTTCCAAAGAAAATGGTGGGACTGGGTCATCTTTCCCATATAAACCACCCAAACCAGTCTAGCCCAGTCTAAACCACTCTAAACCAGTCCCAAACCAGTATAAACCACTCCCAGCACCACTATAGACCAGCCTAGAGCAGTCTAACCCAGTATAGACCGGTTTAAACCACTCTAAACCACCTCCAAACCACTCCCAGCAGCAGTATAGACCAGTCTAACCCAGTCTAGACCACTATAGACCAGTCCAACCCAGTCCAACCCAGTCACCCCAACGCCCCCTCACCGGCTGCCTTCCGCAGGGTGGCCTGGGCAGGGAAGAGCAGCTCGGGGTGGGTGACCCTGCAGGTGAAGATGTCCCCCCTGTCCCACTCGGTGGTGCGGACGTTGGCCACGGCCATGGCGCTGAAGAGCCCGTTGGCCTCCAGGACGTGGGGCAGCCTCTTGGTGTCGAGCTCGGTGCCGTCCTCCTTCCACCAGGACACGTCCAGGCCGTCCATGGAGGGCACGTTGAGGACCTGGCACGAGAGCTTGGCCACCTTCTCCTTGAAGATGTCCATGAAGAGCGGCGGCGTCACCTTCACGGTGATGTCCTCACTGGGGGCGTCGTCTATGGGGGGGGAGATGGAGAAGTCAACACGCGTTGGTCATGGATGTCAACACGTGTTGGTCATGGATGTCAACCCATGTTGGCCATGGACATAGAACCATGTCGGCCATGAACGTCAACATCTGTTGGCCATGGACATCGACCCATGTTGGTCATGGACATCAGCCTATGTTGCCCATGGATGTCAACCTATGTTGGCCATGTATGTCAACCTATGTTGGTCATGGATGTCAACCTATGCTGCCCATGGATGTCAACCTATGTTGGCCATGTATGTCAACCTATGTTGGTCATGGATGTCAACCCATGTTGCCCATGGATGTCAACCTATGTTGGTCATGGATGTCAACCTATGTTGCCCATGGATGTCAACCTATGTTGCCCATGGATGTCAACCCATGTTGCCCATGGATGTCAACCCGTGTTGACCATGGACATCACCCCACGTTGGCCATGAACATCAACCCATGTTGGCCATGGACATCAACCTATAGAGGACTTAAGGGGACATCTTGGTCTCCAATCGATGGCCACCAATGGACACACTATGGATCTCCTATGGTCTATACGGCGCCCCCTCCCTGCCACTGCCACATTCAAGCTCTTCCCAGCCCCATAGAGACCCCTTAGTGACCGCCCCATAGACTCACATCCGCACTCCAGAGCCTTGCTGATGTTCCTCATCTCGTCCCCCACCTGGCACGTGAAGATGTCCCCGGAGGCCCACTCGGCCTCGGTGACCACCAGGAGGCTGTTGGTGACGCCGAGGCGGCCGTTGGCCAAGGTCTCGGTGATGGCGGCGCCGGCACCGGCGGCGTCGAGGAGGTCCAGGCCGTTCCGGAGCCAGCGGATGGGGGGCGAGGGGAGGCCTTGGACGTGGCACAGGAGGGTGGCGTTGCGGTAGGGGCCCTGGAAGTCCTCGCGGGATGGGGGGTACAGGGTGATGGTGGGGACAAAGGGGGCGGACGGGGACGTGGAGCCTGTGGGGAGGAGTTGGAGCTGGATGGAGGTGGACCAGGATGAAGGACAAGGATCAAGCAGCACAGATGGAGAACCCCCCAATGCCCCCAGAGACCCCCATTGACCACATAGCCCCCCCCATAGACCCCCATAGCCCCCCATAGTCCCCATAGACGCCCATAGCCATCCATAGCCCCCATAAACCCCCATAGACCCCCATAGACCCCATAGCCCCCAGTAACCTCCCATAGACCCCCATTGAATCCCATAGCCCCCATAGTCCCCCATAGCCCCCCATAGACCCCCACTGCCCCCATTGATCCCCATTGACCCTTATTGATCCCATTGACCCCCATAGACTCCCATAGCCCCCCATAGTTCCCATAGACTCCCATAGCCCCCCATAGACCCCATAGACCCCCATAGACCCCCATAGCCACCCATAGACCCCCATAGACCCCCATAGCCACCCATAGACCCCCATTGACCCCTATTGATCCCATTGACCCCCATAGCCACCCATAGACCCCCATTGACCCCTATTGATCCCATTGACCCCATAGACCTCCATTGACCCCCATAGCCCCCCATTGACCCCCATTGACCCCCATAGACCCCATTGACCCCTATTGATCCCATTGACCCCCACAGACTCACATAGCCCCCCATAGCCCCCCATTGACCCCCATTGACCCCTATTGATCCCATTGACCCCCATAGCCCCCCATTGACCCCCATTGACCCCTATTGATCCCATTGACCCCCATAGCCCTCCATTGGCCCCCATTGACCCCCATTGACCTCCATAGCCCCCCATAGCCCCCCATTGACCCCTATTGATCCCATTGACCCCCATAGCCCCCCATTGACCCCCATTGACCCCTATTGATCCCATTGACCCCCATAGCCCTCCATTGGCCCCCATTGACCCCCATTGACCTCCATAGCCCCCCATAGCCCCCCATTGACCCCCATGGGTACTCACCGGGGTTGGTGACGTTGGCGCTGGCGCTGCCCAGGCGGCACTGGAAGGGCTGCAGGGCCCGGCCCTCGGTGCCCTCCATGACCAGGAGGGAGGCGGCGCCGGAGCCGTGGGGCGCCCCCCGGAAGGCCCCGGTGGCGCTGTGGGTCCGGTCGTGGCGGTCGCGCCAGGCGATGGCGGCGCCGGGGGGCACGGACCCCACGGCCACGCAGGCGACGGAGAACAGGGAGGAGGAGGAGGAGGAGGAGGAAGAGCAGGGGGAGAGGGGCAAGAGGGAGGGGGCAGCTGTGGGGAGAGAAGGGAGAGGGTGAGTGGGGGGGATTTGGGGGGAAAAATGGGGGGTTTGGGCAAAAAATGCATTGGTTTTGGGGGAGAAATGTGGGTTATGGGGCAAAAAAATGCATTGGTTTTGGGGGAGAAATGGGGGGTTTGGGCAAAAAATGCATTGGTTTTGGGGGAGAAATGGGGGGTTTGGAGGAAAAAAATACATTGGTTTTGGGGGAGAAATGGGGGTTATGGGGCAAAAAAATGCATTGGTTTTGGGGGAGAAATGGGGGGTTTGGGCAAAAAAATACATTGGTTTTGGGGGAGAAATGGGGGTTATGGGGCAAAAAAATGCATTGGTTTTGGGGGAGAAATGGGGGTTTTGGGCAAAAAAATGCAATGGTTTTGGGGGAGAAATGGGGGGTTTGGGGGAAAAAAATACATTGGTTTTGGGGGAGAAATGGGGGTTTTGGGGCAAAAAAATGCATTGGTTTTGGGGGAGAAATGGGGGGTTTGGGGGAAAAAAATACATTGGTTTTGGGGGAGAAATGGGGGTTTTGGGCAAAAAAATGCATTGGTTTTGGGGGAGAAATGGGGGGTATGGGGGAAAAAATACATTGGTTTTGGGGAGAAATGGGGGTTTTGGGCAAAAAAATGCATTGGTTTTGGGGGAGAAATGGGGGTTTTGGGCAAAAAAATGCAATGGTTTTGGGGGAGAAATGGGGGGTTTGGGGGAAAAAAATACATTGGTTTTGGGGGAGAAATGGGGGTTTTGGGCAAAAAAATGCATTGGTTTTGGGGGAGAAATGGGGGGTTTGGGGGAAAAAAATACATTGGTTTTGGGGGAGAAATGGGGGTTTTGGGCAAAAAAATGCATTGGTTTTGGGGGAGAAATGGGGGGTATGGGGGAAAAAATACATTGGTTTTGGGGGAGAAATGGGGGTTTTGGGCAAAAAAATACATTGGTTTTGGGGGAGAAATGGGGGTTTTGGGCAAAGAAAAAACATTTTTGGGGGGAGAAATGGGGGTTTGGGGGGAATATATTATTTTTTGGGGGGAAATGGGGGTTTTGGGCAAAAAGAACCCTTTTTTGGGGGGGAAATGGAGATTTGGGGGGAAATGTATTGGGTTTGGGGGAAAAAGTGGGGATTTTGGGCAAAAATATTTGGGTTTTGGGGGGGAAATGGGGATTTTGGATTTAAAAAAAACATTTTGGGGAGGGAAATGGGGATTTGGGGGAAAAATCCTGGGTTTAGGGGAGAAAACAGGGATTTTGGGGAAGGGGTCAGTGCCGGCAGCCCCAGCTGCCCTATAGCTGCTCCTGCAGTACTGGGACCAGTATGGACCAGTATGGACCAGTATGGAGCAGTACCGGTACCCCCAGCTGCCCTATAGCTGCTCCTGCAGTACTGGGACCAGTATGGGACCAGTATGGACCAGTATGGAACAGTACCGGTACCCCCAGCTGCCCTATAGCTGCTCCTGCAGTACTGGGACCAGTATGGACCAGTATGGACCAGTATGGAGCAGCACCGGTACCCCCAGCTGCCCTATAGCTGCTCCTGCAGTACTGGGACCAGTATGGGACCAGTATGGACCAGTACGGACCAGTACCGGTACCCCCAGCTGCCCTATAGCTGCTCCTGCAGTACTGGGACCAGTATGGACCAGTATGGACCAGTATGGAGCAGCACCGGTACCCCCAGCTGCCCTATAGCTGCTCCTGCAGTACTGGGACCAGTACAGACCAGTATGGACCAGTATGGACCAGCACCGGTACCCCCAGCTGCCCTATAGCTGCTCCTGCAGTACTGGGACCAGTATGGGACCAGTATGGACCAGTACAGACCAGTACCGGTACCCCCAGCTGCCCTATAGCTGCTCCTGCAGTACTGGGACCAGTATGGACCAGTACAGACCAGTATGGACCAGTACGGACCAGTACCGGTACCCCCAGCTGCCCTATAGCTGCTCCTGCAGTACTGGGACCAGTATGGGACCAGTATGGACCAGTACAGACCAGTATGGACCAGTATGGACCAGTACCGGTACCCCCAGCTGCCTTATAGCTGCTCCTGCAGTACTGGGACCAGTATGGACCAGTATGGACCAGTATGGGCCCCTCTACCCTGATCTATACACATGAATGGATGAATACATCACTATTAATAGATTAAAAGCTATAAATCGATGTATCCCTATCAATGGAGATATTAATCAATAGGTAAACCTCAATAATCCCTATCAATGGAGCCGACTTAATAGCTATTAATCAATAGATAAATCCCGATTATCCCTATCAATAGAGCCGAATTAATAGCTCTTAATCAATAGATAAACCTCTATGATCCCTATCAATGGAGCCGAATTAATAGCTATTAATCAATAGATAAGCCTATGTTATCCCTATCAATAGAGCTGAATCAATAGATTAACCTATATTCTTATATATTAATACTTATTAATCAATATATCTATCTGTATCTGTATCCGTCTATTAATACCCATTAACTGGGAATATTACTCTATTAATTGCTGGATATTGGAGAGATCAACCCCAAAACTGGATATTAATCGATAATATCGATTATAGATGAGAGGATTCATCAATATTATATTCATCTAAGTTAATATTAATAAATATTAATCTGTATTAATTATTAATCGCTATTAAACAGCATTAATTAATACTAATCGATATTATATTCATCTTTTTGTGTGCTATTTAGGAGCAATTCCATTTTATATCGATTAATATTTGGATTATTAGGTCGATATAATACATAATATATGATATATAATATATAACATATAATATACAGTATAATCTTATATATTATATAATATATAGTTAATATTGACTATATAATATAATTAATAATTAATGTGATATAATTAACTATTAATTATTAATATATTAAATATAATATTTAATGTATTATTATTTAATTTAATTAAATTATCATTTAATGTAATTAAATTATATTATTTAATGTAATTAGATTAAATTATATTATTTAATATATTATACACGTAAAATATCATATTTAATATATTAATAAATCTAATTAACGTAAATTATTAATATAGAATAGGTATCAAGGTACAGATAAATTGCAGATAAATAGATATTATTATCATAGATAGGTATGAATCTATTAAATATATCTATAATAATTGCATTATGATCCAATATTTAATAGCTATCACCTATTAAATCCTATTTTATAGCGAGATATTAAAAATACCTATTATTAGAAGGCAGCTATCTATGAGAAATATTCGATTTAATAATCCATTTATAAATTTAATAGCCTATGTATTAATAGTCTATTAATTTAATAGTCTATTAATTTAATAGTCTATTAATTTAATAATCTATTTATTAATTTCATAGTCTATTCATTAAGCTAGTGATAGAAATGGATATTAAGGAGTTAATATATCTGTTAAATATATCCATCTATGTCCAGATCTATCCATTAATGGTAGGAAATTGGTATTAAATATCCTATTTTGACATAAAATAGAGGTTTCCACTTAAAATAGAGCCGGTGTTAAGGAGTAAGGCATCTATTAGCTCTAATAAACCAGATATTAGGCCTAATAATGCCTAATTATTATATCTATGCATCCGTCTATCATTATTAACGATAATAACACCTAATAATACAGGGTAAAATCATATCAGAAGAGATCTTAAATGACACATTGGCCCAAAACCGCCTGAATTCACCCCAAAACACTGTTTCCCCCTTAAAGTCTGCTTAAAAGGGGTGGTTTTTACCCAAAACCTCCTGATTTCCCCCCAAAAAGGGGGTGTTTTGCCCCCCGCAGCTGCTGTTTTTCACCCGTTTCGCTCCATTGGCTTCCACTGAAAAGCTTTTATGCAAACGAAACCCCCCAAAAAAGAGGAATTTGCCCAATTCTCACTTCTCGTTTTTGGTTATTTTCGAGACCGAAAACAGGCGATTTGGGGTGAAAAACAACCCAAAGCTGCACCTGCGGGGCCCGGAGCGGCCATTTTAGGTCTAAACCCCCCTTTTCCAGGCAAAACCCAACTTTAAATCAAATTTCTTTATATTTTTACACCTTTCTTTTTTTTTTTTTTGGCCAGAAAATTGCGAAAATCCGGGTGGTTGTGTCTCATTTGATCATCATTTTGGGGGCAAAAAGCCCGATTTTGGAGTTTAGTTCGAACTTCAAGCCCTGACATTAAAACATGTTAATTTAATGATCTATATTTGATAGATTTCTGAGTTTCACCTCATTTTACCCAAATTTCAGCATTTTCAAGCCTTTTTCTCCATTTCAACCTGATTTTCTGATTTCCTATCTATTTTAACCTATTTCAATCAATTTTTATATCCATTTTCTATCAATTTTAATCTAGATTTGATATCCACTTTATATCCATTTTTCTACCAGTTTTATCCTTTTTCTTACCAAATTTTCAATCTATTTCACGCATTTTCCTGTTTGCCCTGTATTTTTGATCTTTTTTATCAATTTTCTACCTAATTTTCAACCTGTTTCACCCATTCTTCTCAATTTTCATCTATTTTTCTAGTTTCATCGATTTTAACCTATTTAATCGATTTTAACCTATTTTTCTACCTATTTTTAATCTATTTTCCTCTAGAGCTTTATCTACTCAATTTTCTATAGATTTAAATCTGATTTTTGAGTAATTTCCCCCTTTTTTAACCTAAATTTTGATCCCATTTTTGTCATTGCATTTCAATCTCTATTTAGTCTGCATCTAAATATATATTATATTCTCTATAATATATATATTATACATCACCTATATATTTCCCTATCATTAAAATAAACATTAAACCCATCAACTGCCCCAAACTCCCCCAGATTTGCCCAAAAACCGTTTCAATAACTTCATTTTGCCTCAATTTTGGGCAAGAATTGGGGTTTTTTTGGGAGAAAATCGCCTTATTTGAGGAATTCCCCTTAAAACCTCACTTTGCTGCCCCAAACCTCTCAATTCTGTGTTAGAACCCATTCAGAAAGGCAACAAAACGATGGAGAATTCATTAATAAGCAGACAAAAATGGGAGATTTGGGCAAAAAGAGAGGAAAATAGGGCTGAAATTCACAATAACGGCCCCAAATCCCCATTTTAAGCAAATTTGGGCTAAAAAACCATGAAAAAAAAGGAGAAAGTGGGACTTTAACAGCAAATTTACCCCCAAAATGACCCAAAATTGAGAGATTGGCTCGTTTCCGATCAAAAATCTATATAAAATACGAATTTCTCCTTTTTCATCCAAAGTCTGCCTTTTTGACCTCAAATTTCATTCTTCCCCCCCCCCCCACCAAAATGGGGGGGGGGGGGGGGTGTGTGGTCATTTTAGCCAACAAATTGCCCTCAATTCTATTTTTTTCCACAAAAAAAAGACCCTAAAATTAACATTTTATGGCCCAAATATGCCATTAAATCACCTCTGGATGAGTTTTCCCCAAAAAAAAGACCCTAAAAATGGACTTTTTAGCCCATTTTTGACCATTAAATCACCTCTGAATCAGTTTTTCTCCTGAAAAAGACCTTAAAAATGGACTTTTTTTGACCATTTTTGACCATTAAATCACCTCCAACTCAATTTTTCACCTAAAAACCACTCCAAAATTGACATTTTTTTTAACCTAAATTTGCCACTAAATCACCTCCAGATCGATTTTTCCTTCTAAAAACACCCCAAAAATGGCCATTTTCAGCCCAAATCTCCCACTAAATCACCTCAAAATGACTATTTCCCAGACAAAAACCCCTCAAAATGGACTTTTTGCCCCATTTTTGCCCCCTCAAACCACCCTTTCCCTCCAAAAAACACCTAAAAACGGACTTTTTCACCCAAAAATGGACATTCCCCCCCCCCAAAAAAACCCTGCCATTTGATGGCCCCAGCCATCAAAATGGGGTCGCCCTCAAGACACACACACACACACACCCGGGTGGATTTTGGGGTGAAAAAGGGCAAAATTGGTCACAATGGGGTGATGGGATGAGGACTTACCGGAGGAGACGGTGACGACGGTGCCGCTGCCCCAGAAGTCAATCCAAGCAGGAAGACCACAATGCGAAGAAGCCAACGCCCTCCCATACAAAAACCCCTCCTCTGGATCATTTTGGGGCTAAACCCTCAATTTTAACAGATTTGGGCCAATTTTCGCTAAAAAAAATCAAAAACAACGAAATTCCGGGTGTTCCGAACGCTAAAATTGTTCAATTTGGTCCAAATTGTGAAAATTTCATGGTGAATTTGAAGTTTTCCCACCTCAGGCTCCAAAGGACCAAGATTTTGGTGTTTTCCCCCACAAAATGGGAGTAAAAAGGGGACATAAACCCCAAAATGGAAAAAAATTGGGGTAAAATTGATCAAAATAAGACAAAACTTCATATTTTGATCATGAGGCATAAATAAAATGGAGAAAAAAGGCCAACATTTGAGGGGCAAAAGGGCAAAAAGGGAAAACTAAGAGGATATTGGAGGGAAAATTGGCCAAAACGTGGAAAATAACCCTAAAATCAAGGCAGAAACTGGCGTAAACAGCAAGAAAATGTTGATTTTGGGGGGTGTGAAAGGGGGGTGGAAGTGAAATATCAGCATTTTGGGGGTTCAAAGCGGCAAAAAAAGGGGTAAAGGGTGAAAAAGGCATGGATTTGGTGCAGAATTAGTGAGGAAGGGCAGAAATTGGCTTCGATTTGGGGCAAAAAAGGGCAAAAAGGGTCCAAATTTGGGGGCAAAGAGCCCCGAGTTTCTTGTCATTGTCTGCACCACTGTGATTAGCAGCAGCACCCCAACCAGTACCAGCACCCACAGTGATACAGGATGGGACAATATCCCCCTCTATGGGGCTGAGCTCATCCACCCCGCTCCTCCTCAAGCACCCCCAAAGGGGCCAAAGCTGCCCAAAATGGGTGGAAAATGGGGTTTTTAGCCCCAAAATCCCTCTTGTTTCGGTCCGGACGGAGCTTTTCCGTGTCCAAAGGTTCCCGTTCCTCCAGGTGGGGAAATGGGGATAAAAGGTGGGAAAATGGGGGTAAAAGGTGGGGAAATGGGGATTTAAGGTGGGAAAATGGGGATGAAAGGTGGGAAAATGGGGATAAAAGGTGGGGAAATGGGGATAAAAGGTGGGGAAATGGGGATGAAAGGTGGGAAATGGGGATGAAAGGTGGGAAATGGGGATAAAAGGTGGGAACTGGGGATGAAAGGTGGGGAAATGGGGATGAAAGGTGGGAAATGGGGATAAAAGGTGGTAAATGGGTATAAAATATGGGAAAATGTCCCTAACAGGCTAAGAAATGGCAATATTTGGGGAGAAATTGGGCATAAATGGGAAAATATCCCTGAAATTGTGTATTGTAGTGGTAGGAAGGGAAAAGTGGGGTGAGATTTGGGAGGAATGTGGCCAAAAAGGGGCAAAATAGGCCCAGGTTTGGGTCAAAAGTGGCCCAAAAGGTGCAACCAGACCCAGGTTTGGGTGAGAATGGGCAAACCAGGGCAAAATTGGGCCTGGTTTGGGTCAAAAGTGGGCAAAATTGGTCAACGTGGGCCATCTAATGGGGGTTTTGGTGGTCCTCAAGGCCTGGGTCTCCATACAAGAGATCCCCATCTCCATCCAATGGGTCCTCACCTCCATCCAATGGGTGTTGCTCTCCATCCAATGGGTGTTGCTCTCCATCCAATGGGTCATGGTCTCCATCCAATGGGTCATGGTCTCCATCCAATGGGTCTTGGTCTCTATCCAATGGGTCCCAATCTCCATCCAATCGGTCCCATCTCCATCCAGTGGGTCCCCATCTCCAACCAATGGATCTTGTTCTCTATCCAATGGGTCTTGATCTCCAAACAATGAGTCCCCATCTCCATCCAGTGGGTTCCCATCTCCATCCAATGGGTCCCCATCTCCATCCAATGGGTCTTGGTCTCTATCCAATGGGTCCCCATCTCCATCCAATGGATCTTGGTCTCTATCCAATGGGTCTTGATCTCCAAACAATGAGTCCCCGTCTCCATCCAATGGGTCTTGAACTCCATCCAATGGGTCCCCATCTCCATCCAAGGGGTCTTGCTCTCCATCCAATGGGTCCCCATCTCCATCCAAGGGGTCTTGCTCTCCATCCAATGGGTCCCCATCTCCATCCAAGGGGTCTTGTTCTCCATCCAATGGGTCCCCACCTCCCCCTCAGTCCCTTTCACCACCCACCCCCTCACCCTCCACCCTCCCAACCACAGGCACCGCGCTCCGGCGCCCGCCGCCACCCTATAGCGCCCTATGGGCCCCATTCATGCCCGGGCCCCGCATGCCGCCGGCACCACCGTGGGCACTCTTCACGCAGTAGTAAGTGGCCGCGTCCTGCGCCGCGAGGCCGCTCATCTGCAGCGTGACCGTGCCCTGGGAGCTGTCCATGGTGATGGTGGCTCGGCCCTGCACCGACGGCGCGTACCAGGTGCTACCACCATTGCTGTTGATGCTTGCGACCCATTGGAGCCCCTGCCCCGGTGCTTGGCGCATCCATCCCATGCCGTAGCTGCCGAAGGTGAAGCCCGAGGCCTTGCAGAGGAGCCTCATGGAGCCCCCGGGGCTTTGGAGGCCGCCTTCGGTCTCCTCCAGCGTCACGGCCGCCCGCAGACCTGGGCATGGACAAGAAGGAGCCATTGAGGCCATGGGGGGCTCAGCGCCGGCACCACGGACCTCCCACCCCCCCCAGTGCCACCATGGGTCCGGGTCCTACCTGGGACGGAGGCCGCGAGGAGGAGGATGAGGACGGGGAAGGCCATGGCGGTGCCGGTGGCGATGGCGGTGGTGGGGCCATGGGGCGGACGGGTTATGAAGGCAGTGGGGCACGGGGGGGTTTGCATAGGGGGAAGGGGGGGTTAAGAAAGGGGGCGGGGCTATGGGGCGAGGGGAGGGATCAGTTGATGGCGGGGGGGGTGGTTAATCGGTTAATAGCGATGCGGAATTAATGGTGGATTAATTAATCAATTAATTGCGACCGCAATCAATTAATTGGTTGGGAAGTAGACATGGAGTCAATGGCAGATTGATTAATCAATTACTTCTGATCGCAATCAATTAATTGGTTGGGAAGTAGACATGGAGTTAATGGCAGATTAATTAATCAATTCATTGGGAACATGATATGGAATTAATGGCAGATGTGTTAACTGATTAATTGTGATACTGACATGGAATTAATTGCAATTTAAATAATTAATTGGGATAGCAACGTGGAACTAATGGCAGATTGGTAAAGTAATTAATTGTGATCTCGAGGTGGAATTAATAGCAGATTAATTAATTAATTGTGATGCCGACATGGAATTAATTGCAGATTTATTAATCGACTGTGATCACAACATGGAATTAATTGAAGATGAATTAATTGTTTGTGATAACAACACGGAATTAATGGCAGATTAATTAATTGATTCAGATACCAAAAAGGAGTTAACAAGAGATGAATTAATTAATTGGTAGATCCACGTGGAATTAATTGCAGATTAATTAATTAATTGTGATATGGACATGCAATTAATGGCAGCTTAGTTAATAACTTAATTGTGCTATCAATGTGGAAATAATTGCAGATTAATTGCAACCAATTAATTGTGATTTAATGGTTTAATGGGAATTTCACGGGGTTTTAGGAAATGTGTCTTAATAAACTTCTAATGAATTAATTAATTAGGTGGTTTGATACTGATTGATTAGGTATTTTTTATACCCCTATGTTTGCCTCGGCCATTTTACACATTTCATTTGATCCTATATTGCTTTTAATCACCTTAACCTATTTTTAATACCATTTTCAATTAATTCCTAGCAATTAATCACTACTGAGGAATAAGAATTACTATTATTAGCAACGTTTAATTACTATTAACAATGTTTAATGCTTAAGAATTACACATTATGAGTTGTTTAATAGAAACTTAATGAATTTACACTCATTCATTATATATTAATCTATTTATTCTCATTAATCATATATAATAATCTATTTAATTAATTATATACATTAATCTATTTAATCTCATTGTTTAACTTCCCAATTATTTGATAGCACTTTCATTTCTTTGCTATCCTTTTACACATTATATTTGAATCGTACCTATTTATCATTGCAGTGCCTTTTACTGGGGCTAGTTAATGAATTAATTAATTAATTAATAGGGGAGCCCCATGGGGCTGCGTGGCAGCTGCTCCCTTGATTCATGAACTAATAGGGAGGTCCCATGGGGCTTCACGGCAGGTGCCTTGGGTCACAACAAGCCTTAATATAGAGACCGAGGCTCCCTTACTTAATGAATTAATTAATAGGGACCCTTAATTGCAATCACTGCAGAGGGTTCATTAATGAGAGTGCCCTCATCATTAACTGCAATTACTGCAGTGCTCTCATCATTAACTGCAATCACTGCACTGCCCTCATCATTAACTGCAATCACTGCACTGCTCTCATCATTAACTGCAATCACTGCAGTGCCCTCATCATTAACTGCAATCACTGCACTGCTCTCATCATTAACTGCAGTCACTGCAGTGCCCTCATCATTAACTGCAATCACTGCAGTGCCCTCATCATTAACTGCAATCACTGCACTGCTCTCATCATTAACAGCAATCACTGCAGTGCCCTCATCATTAACTGCAATCACTGCACTGCTCTCATCATTAACTGCAATTACTGCAGTGCCCTCATCATTAACTGCAATCAGTGCAGTGCCCTCATCATTAACTGCAATTACTGCAGTGCCCTCATCATTAACTGCAATCACTGCAGTGCCCTCATCATTAACTGCAATCACTCCATTGCTCTCATCATTAACTGCAATCACTGCAGTGCCCTCATCATTAACTGCAATCACTGCAGTGCCCTCATCATTAACTGCAATCACTTCCCTCATCATTAACTGCAATCACTGCAGTGCCCTCATCATTAACTTCAATCACTGCACTGCTCTCATCATTAACTGCAATCACTGCAGTGCCCTCATCATTAACTGCAATCACTGCACTGCCCTTAGCACTGATTAACCATCACCACTATAACCATCACCACCATAACCATAACCACCATCACCACCATCACCATCACCATAACCATCATTACCCTTCACGCAGTAGTAAGTGGCCGTGTCCTGCGCCGTGAGGCCGCTCATCTGCAGCGTGACCGTGCCCTGGGAGTTGTCCCTGGTGATGGTGGCTCGGCCCTGCACCGATGCCCCGTATCTGGTGGTGCCACCACCACTGTTAATGCTTGCGACGAACTCGAGCCCCTGCCCCGGTGCTTGGCGCATCCATCCCATGCCGTAGCTGCCGAAGGTGAAGCCCGAGGCCTTGCAGAGGAGCCTCATGGAGCCCCCGGGGCTTTGGAGGCCGCCTCCGGTCTCCTCCAGCGTCACGGCCGCCCGCAGACCTGGGCATGGACAAGAAGGAGCCATTGAGGCCATTGGGGGCTCAGCGCCGGCACCACGGACCTCCCACCCCCCCCAGCGCCACCATGGATCCGGGTCCTACCTGGGGGTGAGGGTGGCTCCGTGGCTATGGGGAAGGGTCCATAGGGACCCAATGGGGGGGGTTGGGGGAAAACCTGTGGAGGTTTGGGTCAATGGATCTAGATTTGGGTCAATGGATGAAGATTTGTGTCAATGGATGAAGATCTGGGTCAATGGAGGAAGATTTGGGTCAATGGATGAAGATTTGGTCAATGGATGAAGATTTGGGACAATGGATGAAGATTTGGGTCAATGGATGAAGATCCGGGTCAATGGATGAAGATTCGGGTCAATGGATGAAGATTTGGGTCAATGGATGAAGATTTGGGTCAATGGATGAAGATTTGACTCAATGGATCCAGATTTGGGCTTCGCCTTCGGAGACTACGCCATGGGATGGATGCGCCAAGCCCCAGGGCAGGGGCTCCAATGGGTCGCAAGCATTAGCAAGGGTGGTGGTTACACCTACTACGCGCCGTCGGTGAAGGGCCGAGCCACCATCACCAGGGACAACTCCCAGGGCACGGTCACGCTGCAGATGAGCGGCCTCACGGCGCAGGACACGGCCACTTACTACTGCGTGAAGAGTGTTTATGCTGGTGGTGGTGGTGGTGGTGGTGGTGGTGCTGATGGTGGGTATGGGGGGTACGGTGGTATAGCCATGACCAGCACCATACCCACCATAACCAGCATAGCTAGCGCCATAACCACCATAGCCATCATAACCACCATCACCACCATAACCAGCACCAACACCAGCACCAGCACCATACCCACCAGAACCACCATAACCAGCATCATACACACTGTAACCACCATAACCAACATATCCAGCACTATAACCACCATAACCAGCACCGTACCCACCATAAGCACCCTCACCACCACCATAACCAGCACCAGGAGCACCACCACCAGCATAACCACTCTTCACGCAGTAGTAAGTGGCCGTGTCCTGCGCCGTGAGGCCGCTCATCTGCAGCGTGACCGTGCCCTGGGAGTTGTCCCTGGTGATGGTGGCTCGGCCCTGCACCGATGCCCCGTATCTGGTGGTGCCACCACCACTGTTAATGCTTGCGACGAACTCGAGGCCCTGCCCCGGTGCTTGGCGCATCCATCCCATGCCGTAGCTGCCGAAGGTGAAGCCCGAGGCCTTGCAGAGGAGCCTCATGGAGCCCCCGGGGCTTTGGAGGCCGCCTCCGGTCTCCTCCAGCGTCACGGCCGCCCGCAGACCTGGGCATGGACAAGAAGGAGCCATTGAGGCCATTGGGGGCTCAGCGCCGGCACCACGGACCTCCCACCCCCCCCAGCGCCACCATGGATCCGGGTCCTACCTGGGGGTGAGGGTGGCTCCGTGGCTATGGGGAAGGGTCCATAGGGACCCAATGGGGGGGGTTGGGGGAAAACCTGTGGAGGTTTGGGTCAATGGATGGAGATTTGGGTCAATGGATGAAGATTTGTGTCAATGGATGAAGATCTGGGTCAATGGAGGAAGATTTGGGTCAATGGATGAAGATTTGGTCAATGGATGAAGATTTGGGACAATGGATGAAGATTTGGGTCAATGGATGAAGATCCGGGTCAATGGATGAAGATTCGGGTCAATGGATGAAGATTTGGGTCAATGGATGAAGATTTGACTCAATGGATCCAGATTTGGGCTTCGCCTTCGGAGACTACGCCATGGGATGGATGCGCCAAGCCCCAGGGCAGGGGCTCCAATGGGTCGCAAGCATTAGCAAGGGTGGTGGTTACACCTACTACGCGCCGTCGGTGCAGGGCCGAGCCACCATCACCAGGGACAACTCCCAGGGCACGGTCACGCTGCAGATGAGCGGCCTCACGGCGCAGGACACGGCCACTTACTACTGCGTGAAGAGTGGTTATGCTGGTGGTGGTGGTGGTGGTGGTGGTGGTGGTGCTGATGGTGGGTATGGGGGGTACGGTGGTATAGCCATGAATAGCACCATACCCACCATAACCAGCATAGCGAGCGCCATAACCACCATAGCCATCATAACCACCATCACCACCATAACCAGCACCAACACCAGCACCAGCACCATACCCACCAGAACCACCATAACCAGCATCATACACACTGTAACCACCATAACCAACATATCCAGCACTATAACCACCATAACCAGCACCGTACCCACCATAAGCACCCTCACCACCACCATAACCAGCACCAGGAGCACCACCACCAGCACTCTTCACGCAGTAGTAAGTGGCCGTGTCCTGCGCCGTGAGGCCGCTCATCTGCAGCGTGACCGTGCCCTGGGAGTTGTCCCTGGTGATGGTGGCTCGGCCCTTCACCGACGGCGCGTATTCGGTGTAACCACCATTGCTGCTAATCCTTGCGACGAACTCGAGCCCCTGCCCCGGGGCTTGGCGCATCCATCCCATGGTGTAGCTGCCAAAGGTGAAGCCCAAATCTTCATTCATTGACCCAAATCTTCATCCATTGACCCAAATCTCCATCCATTCACCAAATCTTCATCCATTGACCCAAATCTCCATCCATTGACCCAAATCTCCATCCATTGACCAAATCTTCATCCATTGACCCAAATCTTCATCCATTGTCCCAAATCTCCATCCATTGACCCAGATCTTCATCCATCGACCCAAATCTCCATCCATTGACCAAATCTTCATCCATTGACCCAAATCTCCATCCATTGACCCAAATCTTCATCCATTGACCCAAACCTCCACAGGTTTTCCCCCAACCCCCCCCACTGGTTCCCTATGGACCCTTCCCCATAGCCACGAAGCCAACCTCACCCCCAGGTAGGACCCGGACCCATGGTGGCACTGGGGGGGGTGGGAGGTCCGTGGTGCCGGCGCTGAGCCCCCCATGGCCTCAATGGCTCCTTCTTGTCCATGCCCAGGTCTGCGGGCGGCCGTGACGCTGGAGGAGACCGGAGGCGGCCTCCAAAGCCCCGGGGGCTCCATGAGGCTCCTCTGCAAGGCCTCGGGCTTCACCTTCGGCAGCTACGGCATGGGATGGATGCGCCAAGCACCGGGGGCAGGGGCTCGAGTACGTCGCAAGCATCAACAGCAATGGTGGTAGCACCTGGTACGCGCCGTCGGTGAAGGGCCGAGCCACCATCACCAGGGACAACTCCCAGGGCACGGTCACGCTGCAGATGAGCGGCCTCACGGCGCAGGACGCGGCCACTTACTACTGCGTGAAGAGGGGTTATGCTGGTGGTGGTGCTCCTGGTGCTGGTTATGGTGGTGGTGGTGGTGCTTATGGTGGGTACGGTGGGTACGGTGCTGGTTATGGTGGGTATAGTGCTGGATATGCTGGTTATGGTGGTTACAGTGTGTATGATGCCGGTTATGGTGGTTCTGGTGCTGGTGCTGGTTATGGTGGCGATGGTGGTTATGATGACTATGGTGGTTATGGCTTAATTATTAGCCCTAATTGAGGGGCTAACGCTCACCCTGCCCCCGAAATGCAGGTGCGAGAGCAGCTGCTGCAGCCAAGGGCCCGAAAGCGACCGCCGGCGCCTATTTTTGGGTTAAAAAGGGCCCGTTTTGGGGTTTCGGGGCTCTTTGTGGCTATTTTTGGCAGCAGCAGCTGCGCGGGAAAACCCCAAAGCGGGCGGGTTTGGCCCCAAAACGGGGCCGGCCCAGACACAGGGCGCGGGACGGGACCGTCGCTCCTCGGTGATGGCTATTAGCGCTATTAATTGCGGTCGGTTAGTGCTAACAATTGCATTAAAGTGACGGGCTTTGCTAATTATTAATCGGTTCTTATTTGATTATTTATTTATGATTAAATTATTTGCTATTATTCGCTACAGTTGACTGGGAATTTGATGGGAATCGCTATTTTTATTGCTAATATTCACCAATTTGCTGGTTTTAGACCTATTATCCCGTCCTCCTATGACCTCGCTCCTTTATTCCCTATTAACTTATTAATCGGTTATTCCAACTTATTAACCGATTATTTGAGTCTCAGAGGAACCATTATTAGCTCCATTAGTCTCTTTTTTTACTCTTATTAGCACAAATCCTTCTATTTCTAGTATTAATATTAGCATTTGTGTTATTAATATCATTTATTAGCATTATTATTGTTATTGGCAATAGTATTAAATTATTACCACTACTTTGTCCTCCTTTTTTATAGTAATATTATCATTAATAGCACTAAAATAATGAAATCATAATAATATTGTTAGAAATAACCGGTGTATATAATAGAATATGAGAAATTAATCGGTTTCCAATGGAAATGATTAGGTTTCTATTAGAAATCATTACGTTTATATTGCAATTAATAGAAGCACTTATTAGCGTTAGAGAGCATTCTGGGTTTATTAACGGGAATTAATTAGGAGCCTTTTATTAGGAGGAATTGCCCTTTATCACTATTATTAGAGCAAAAATCGCTGCGTTATTGGGGTTTATTCGCTATTTTATTGGTGCATTAGGCGTTTATTAGCTTGTAATTTTATCATAATTTAGCTTTATTTTTGTTATTATTATTTCTATTATTATTAGATTAATCATTGTTAATTATTATCATCAAAACCTCCCACTGTATTTGCCCTCCTTCTAATTATCAGCCCCATCTATTCCTTGATTAATTCCTGTTATTAGCACAAATGCTCCTATTTTATCATTGCCTCATTGCATTAGCTCCATCATTAATCACTATTATCGTTAATAATCGCTTTTGATTCTCATTATTATCACCTCTGCAGGGGTTTGCACCACTTTATTAGCTCTTAATAACAGTAATGATACTAATAATATTAAAGCAATTATATTTTTGTAAAAAGATAATTTATTATAATTATTATTTTCTATTATTTATATTTTCTCTTATTTTTTGTATTATTTTATATTGGCTATAATTATTATAACTCTAATTTACATTATTAATATATAAATAATATATTCTTTATATAAAATAGATTTATACATTAATAATTATTTCTTATATATTACACAATCAATT